CATGATCTGAAAAATAGAACAAAGATAAATCCCCTAGTACTTGAAATGGTTAGTGAAATGAAATATGGATGTTATGAGGCATGATGTTGTGTTTGAACAGTTTAATCACATACAAGAAAAACACACAAGACCTTAGGCTTAGGCTTGCATGGGGTTTATAGGCAAATACCCCCTTGAAGTTTAGTTGGTTCAACCTGTCTTAGAAAAGTAATCGGGTTCTAAGGAGTCTCAATATCACTGATCTTTCTTTATCAGACATTGTTTCAGCTCAAGCGATCTTTTCTCGCGGCCGAAATATCCCGAAAGTCTTATCTCAATGAGTGTAGAATCAAGTATCAACCAATCCTCAGCTTTATATCGAGGTCGGCTATCTCACTACTTTCTAATGGCCAAGTTTTTTCAACTAAGGTTGTAAGGTCTGTTAGTACTTTATGACACCACACAGCGGCCCCGTACTCCCCTCGATTTAACACAAGGGATACCGGTACCAACCAAAGTGTCACACAAACACAACTATCGATTCAACCATATCGATTTACGCCATACAGTCTCCATGATCTATTGTTGTTTACCTAAAAATGTGCCCTAGATCCGGGTGTAGGATCTTTACAAGAATACCCCAACAAACCCTCAAAGATAAAGCAAGCAAAACATACAAGGAAAGCACTTTAAAATAATGAACTAATACTCTAAGGTAACCCCACTTTTCAATAACCCCAACAGAGTCTCCAGTTCTATGATATGGTGGCAGAACCGACTATTGTACTGGTTTTGCGTTTGTGTTCACAAATGTTGCGGTAAGCAAGAGTCGCCATCGACTTTTCTTTTATCCAACAAAGGAAAGGGTGAAAAGAATAGAAAAAGACCTTTCGAGATTATTTTTGAGTAAGGGGGGTAGATTATGGAAAGGGATGGTGTTAGCACCCTTTCCATCCATAGTTATTTGCGGGCTCTTAGATGCTTAGCTCATTTTTGAAATACCTTTTGCTTTTTGTGTGTTTTTGAAAAGTATTTTGAAATGCCTTAGTACGATGATTCGCTTTATGATAACTCTTGTATCAGTCCTCAAGAGTGTTGATAAAGCATTTTTTGAAAGTGTTTTTGAAATGTTTTGGTGTAAGTGTGAAAAATTTGTTTTGAGCAAGCATCTAGGAACTATCTACTTTTACTCGAAAGGTTTGTTATTTTCCTCCTATCCTATAGACAGTGCTATCCTACTATTAGTGAGTAGGTAGCCTCATCGTACAGTCATAAAGAAAACATATAGAGACACTTTAGCAATTTTGTTTAAGGGACTAGATCATTTACCAGAAGGCAACAATGTAGGGTCATCGAGGGACTATGATCTTTTGATTTGAGGGTCTTTGCTAAAGCGTCCCTACTTTTAAGGGACATGACTGTTTTATTTCCGAAGGCAACCAAAGTGGGCGTACGCTAGAGGTTTATATGTGCAAGGTGTGTTATATTCAGTTATTTTTGTCTTAGATGTTAGGTTTGCTAACGTTTTGATTTTAATTTTGTCATGCAATCCTATTAGGCATACATCTAAGCAGTTAATATGCACAGGAATAAAATGTGGGAAATGTGAATCCTACGCTATTACAAAGCTTCGAGGAGGGTATTTACATGTCAAAAAATGAGGGGGATAAAGCAGAAAAAAGTCCTAATTTTAACTATTACATCCAGTAGACAGATACAATAATATGAATGTAAATGCGCGCGAAATGGAAAAGAACGTCTAAGGCAATTCTAGATGAATAAAGAATTTTTTTTTTTGTTTATTTTTTTGATTCATCTAGAGAATAACTAAATTGGATTAACCTAAATTTTGTTTAGAAAAAAAAATAAAAATCTTAATTGAGAAAATAGTCTAAGTTTTTTATTGTTGTTTTTTTGTTATGAGAAAATAATTTAAACATAAATTAAACCCTAAGTTCTAACTTATTTTAATTTTGAAAAAAAATGTTAAAGTTAATTAATTAATTAGTTCAGAAAATAATTTAATTAATAAAAATCTAATCCTAATTTTTATGATGATTTTTATTATTTGATTGTTGATTTAAAAGAAATGAGTAAAAATAAAAATAAATACAAGAAGAAGAGTCTTTCGATCAAAGAAAAATGATGGCCTTCGATCCAGTGAAGGATGGCCTTCGATCCTATGAAGATATGTGGCCTTCGATCCAGTGAAGGATGTTATCCTTCGATCCAGTGAAGGATACTATCCTTCGATCCAGTAGAGAATGTTGTTGGAGGCGTCTGATGAATTGCCTGTGGAGGAAGGCATTGGAATGAATCTGGGAATGACTTCTTAAGAGAATATGATCTCTAACCTCATTGTCACTAGGATCCCGATCATTCGCTTCCATAAAAGATTTAATGAAATAGTGAGTTAATCTTTCATTTTGAGAAACCTCAGTAGGTTCCAAATCTATAGGAGACAATATGGGGGAAGGGAACCAACATCCACACCCCTAACAATAGGACTATCATGGTTCATCTCTTCATATTCTTTAGAGGAATCATATTCACATTCAATAGAATGAAAACTAGAGGGTTCAATTCCATCTTCAATAGAACCCCCTCCAGACCTAGCGTTATCGCTAATCACAATAATGTTAGCACTAGGTTGGTTCTAAAGGGTCAACATTTGGCATTCCTTGGTTCACTATTCTAGTAGCCGAGAGGAATCATCACTACTAGGTGTATTAATTAAATTCACATATACTTTAACTATGTGGGTCGTAACTAGAACAATGAAAGGAAGCAATGAATTGTAAACATTAAAGAGAAATATGGCACGTGAGAGAGCCGAAAATGGAGAAAATAGTTAAAGAAGATGACTCAGAAAATGCGATAGACAAGTAAATGTATAACCCGATGAAATATAAAGATTGATAAAATGGGTGTTGCCAAAGTTCATAGAGGAAAACTAAAGCGTGTAGAAGAAAAAGAACTTTAAATTTGTGTAAAGGGAAAAATAAGTTTTGAAATCCCAAGTGACCCATATATAGAGAAGCGAGGAAAATCAATCAATGGCTCAAATTGATAAAAATGGAGAGGCAAAAAGCAATGATTGGATTTTGCCTCAAGAATATAATGACACTTGAGTGTAGTTAAGTATCCTAGGATGAGACGTCACTTCTTATTCTAGAAATGTCTTAATGATGAGACTCACATTTAATACACTTGTTCCGTAGGGTATCATCACCGACCACTAAACCTCTTCCATTTCTCCTAGCAATGACCACGGTGTAAGGAATCCAACTGAGTTATCTAAAAGGCTTCTCGCTATGATGCCACAAGAAGCCTTAGAAGAAAGTGTTCGGGGTCATCCAAACACCCAATAAAAGGAAGCTCACATCTGATCCAGATTTGAGATGCCCCAACCAACTATCATACATAAAGGATTGGAGAAGAAGGAAAAGGTATGACTCAAACCCTCACTCACACATTACTCATTATTCTCTTACTAACTTGGGCGTTGAAGTGTTAATCTTACAGATCAGTCCCCTCTCCACCGCACAAGAAGCTCAAGTCCAACGTAGCAAAGCACTACCTTGTTGTCCCACTGATTATCTTTAATCCTGATCCATTACACTCATAAAATTGGCTTGTTAGGTGAAGGGTTTTACTCTATATAAATCATTTTAAATCCCTATCTCTAACCAATGTGAAACTTAGGATCTTCCCAATACACCCCCTCACACTCAACACTCTATTAGACTTGGTGCATGGATATAAATGATGGTTGACTCTGGTCCGATCGATAGGATCTGAATCCATATTAAAATTAGAGTTCAGCTTAATTCATGTTTACAAAACCGACTTGTAAGGAGATGAGTGTAGCTCTATATAAAATCTTTTCAACCTTCATCTATAAACAATATGAAATTTGAAATCTTCTTAATAATATAGGTCATTACTAGTCCAATCGAGTAAACCTAATTTTATATGAATTTATTAAAATTCAAATTTACAATCAAGCAGTGGCATAACCAGGATTGAATTGTTAAGGGGGCAAATATATAAAAATAACTAACCAAAAATAATAATAACTGATGTGTATATTAACAAAATATATAAACTGAATATCATGTCGCTAATGAGTTCTTTTAGTAAACTAATTATATCTTCTTTCTATTATATAGTTGGGGTTAGCATTTTGAAATCAATTTTTCTTCTTCTATTATTTAGCTTGGGTTAGCATTTTGAAATCAATTTTCTTTCTATTATTTAACTTGGGTTAGCATTTTGAAATCAATTTTTTTAGGTGGGTTAATAATGTTTATTCTATTTACTTTCACTTTTTTTTACTAGCAAAAATTAAATTTATGATTCTATTTTTATTAATTTTTGTGCCTTTGTATATTAATAATTGATTGAAAGTATTTGATGTGAAAAAAAACAACAACCAAATAATATGTGCGTATGCGGGGAGGAAAAAAATCAACAACCAAGAAATTTATGTATGACAGAGAGAGAAAAAAATTACATAAAAAAATATTTTAGAAAATTTTAAAATAATAGGATTGAATGGACATTATTCTTAACAAAATAAATTTAATTTAATTTTAAAAAATTAATTAGTCGATTATTAATATATTATTTTGACAATTCATTAACAATTCAAATCAAATTTATTTCTAATAAATAAATTGGATTAAATTTTTTAAAATAAGTTTAGTGGATTATTAATATATTGTTTTGATAATTTATTAACAATTCAAATCAAATTTATTTCTTAAGAGAATAAGGAAGTGAAGCTAATAAAATATTAAATTCGAAAAGAATTAACCAAATATTAAAAAAAAAATTGAAAAAAGGCTCATTAGGATTTGATCTCATGACATTAAAAAAAATTAATTGTAAAAAATACAAATATTGACCTTAGCAGGATTTGATCAGATAACCTTAGGTAGAAGAATGAAATACAAATTAATTTTTCTTCAAATGAGTATGTGTTACAAATTTATTCAGAATTTTTCTACGATTTATCTTCACAATTGGCTGAACTTGACCTCAACCCCATCCATAGGAGCAGGATGTGAAAGATAAATTATATTTGCATTTGGATTAACCAGCTCCCACCTGCATTCAATTCATACATGTATAATTATATATAAAAGATATCATTAAATCATTAAAATATAAAGTGACATTTATTCTACCTTGATATAAAACTTTAAAAGAAAAATATATTATATATCAAACACTATGATGAAACATTACTTGTATCCTATGGACAAATGATGAAGCAGAAGTGCTAGTTGAATTCTTGCTAGCATGTTTCCAGGGCAGAGTCTTTGTCCAGCACCAAAAACTTGATATGTTCCAGGTTTTGCCAACTCCTAATAATTTATAAATAAAAAATTGACAATTATTTTATAAATTAATCAGTTAAAAAAATTATCTAGTATGAAAAAACAAAATAAAAAATAGTCAGCAAATGTACATTCCATCTATCAGGGTCAAAATACATGGGATCCTTAAAGTTTTCTGGATCTGTATGAATATAACGAAGCATAGAAATTACTTTCCATCCCTTTGGTATCTTATAACCTACAAAATGAGTGTAATGTATAAGTTTTGAGAAAGTGACAAAATAAAATAGAAAGAGAGAAGTAACTTTCTCAACAACTACAAATCACATACATACCTTTATAATCAACTTCATTTACAACTTTTCTGAAAACAAAAGCTGCAACATTGGACATTCTTATCACTTCTTCAACAACCTGTGTATAATTATTAATTAATATATAAAACCATTAACTATTTTTCACTATACACCGTAATATAATGTTCACAAATACGTTTTTATATTATTTTAACTTTTTAATTTTTTTAAAATTATTTTGATTAATAAAATATTAAAATTTAATTAATACAGGTTGGCTAATACGATTTATAACTTGATTAATAAATTCTAAAACATAAAAACATTAAATAGTAAAATAAAATTAGTTAATGAAATATAAAAATTGATTAATACATTTATAATTTAGTGTCAGAACTGTTGGAAATCCATCAAATATCTATGATAGATTACTACTTCAACGACAATGAATTATGAGAAAAACAAGAAAAGAAACAAGACAATTATTTTCGGCAGAGTTTCTCTCTGCCCACAATCTATGGAAAACTTTGTTATTCACTTGCAACTGCAAGTTCTGTGAATACAACTTAATTGACTTGCTTACAAAAAATAAAGGTTATTCCCTCTATTTATAATTGAGCTTGCACCATAAGCCCAAAGTCTAAAATATTTATTTTGTTACTAAATCAAATCTAATATATTATAGACTTAAATTAAATCTATTTAAATCTAAACAAATCTAATCTTTTTGACACATAGTTTTGACACACTGAATTACAATTTAACACACCACATAATTCATTGTGTCTAAACTATCTATGTTCATCATGGCTCTTAGTCTTCTGAATACTTCGACTTGCACTCCCTTCGTCATGATGTCTGCAATCTGATTCTCAGTTTTGCAGTGTTCCAAATTCATCTTCCCATCAGCTACCTGCTCTCGAAGATAATGGAACCTCATTTTGATGTGCTTACTTCGAACATGTGCTATTGGATTTTTCGCCAGATTGATAGCTGACATGTTGTCTATTTTCGTGGTAATTACTCCATGATCTTTCCCAGTTATCTCTCCGACCAAGTTCACCATCCAAGTTGCTTGACATGCACAAAGAGAAGCAGCTATGTATTCTGCTTCGCATGATGATAATGCCACTACTGATTCCTTTCTTGAATTCCAAGATTGGTGCACCACCTAGCATAAACACATATCCTGCTGTTGACTTTCGATCTTTAGCATCACTACACCAACTCGAATCAGTGTATCCCACTAACTTGCATTCTTTTCCTTTATCAGCTACAGGAAACAAAATACCATAGTCATGAGTTCCTTTGAGATACCTCAGTATCCTCTTCATTGCTGCTAGATGTGATACCTTTGGCTTTTGCATGAATCTACTTACCATGCCTACACTATATGCTAAGTCAGGCTTTGTATGACAAAGATGTCTCAATGATCCAATAAGTCTTCTGTATTGGGTTGGATTAACATCATCTTCATCTGCATCTTTCGACAGTTGCAGTCTTGGTTCTGCAGGTGTCGAAGTTGAGTTGCATTCTTCCATCTCAAACCTCTTGAGATTTCTCCTGCATATCTTCTTTGATGCATCATCAAACCTCCACTGCTCTAGTAGAATTCGATACCAAGAAAATATGAGATCTCACCCAAATCATACATTTCGAATTCCTTGTTGAGATCACCTTTGAAGTCTTCGATCTTACTTTTACAGCTACCTATTATCAACAAATCATCTACATAGAGACATAGTATAAGCAATTCACTATTGCTTCTTCTTATATATACTCCATGTTCAGTAGTGCACTTCACAAATTCCTTCTCTCTTAGGAAATTATCAATTTTCTTATTCCAAGATCTTGGAGCTTGTTTCAATCCATACAGGGCTTTATGTAGCTTGTACACCTTTCTTTCTTCATCATGTTTCACAAATCCAACTGGTTGTTTAACATAAACTTCTTCGTCTAAGGGTCCATTTAGAAATGCACACTTCACGTCCATCTGACATATGTGCCAACTGTTTATTTCTGCTAGACCAACAACCAACGTGATTGTTTCGATCCTAGAAACAGGTGCAAAAACTTCATCGAAGTATATTTCTTCTTTCTGTAGAAATCCTTTCGCCACAAGCCTTGCTTTGTGTCGAGTTACTTCCCCTTTCGAATTCGTTTTCACTTTGTATACCCACTTGACATCAATTGCCTTCTTGCCTTGAAGTAATTCGACAAGTGACCAAGTGTTGTTGTCTTCGATAGACTTCACTTCTTCGTTCATTTCTTTCACCCACTTTGAATCCTTCAATGCTTCAGCTGCATTAACAGGTTCGACATATGCATAGAAAGCATAATGTACCAGCTCACCTTCATCATCTATCACATCATCTGATGTAATCACACAATCTTGCAATCTTGTAGGCATACGTCTTGTTCTTTGAGGTCTACTTGTACTTGGTATATCTGCTGGTTCCTCTTGTCGAACTTCTCTTTCGACTTGAGTTTTTGGTTCTTCGAATAGGATTCCCACTAAATCTTTCTTGACATTTTCAGTCCAATCCCATTCTTTAAACTCATTTATGATCACGTCCCTGCTGATCATAATCTTCTTGTTCTCTGAATCGAACAACTTGTAACCTCCTGTCGAATAATATCCAACCAGAATCATTTGACTTGACTTGTCATCAAGTTTTCTTCTCAATTGATCTGGCACATGTCTATGTGCAATAGATCCAAATACCTTCAGATGACTCAAGCTAGGCTTCACACTAGATCAACATTCTTCTGGAGTAATTCCTTCTAGCTTCTTTGTAGGAAATCTGTTCAAAATATATGTTGCAGTCAAAACAGCTTCACCCTAAAACTCTTTAGGTAAATTCTTGCCTTTCAACATACTTCTCACCATATTCATGATGGTTTGATTCTTCCTTTCTACAATTCCATTTTGTTGTGGAGTATAGGGTGGCACCACCTCATGCACAATCCCTTCCTTTTCACATAGTCTGTCGAAGTCTTTCGACACATATTCTCAACCACCATCAGTTCTCAAAACTTTGAGCTTTCGACCACTTTGTCTTTCGATCATAGACTTAAACTTGGCAAATACTTCGATCACTTCACTTTTCTTCTTGATCAGATAAGTCCACAGCTTTTGACTGAAATCATCTATGAATATAACAAAGTATTTGTTACCTCCCATCGAATCCACCTGGATTGGTCCACATACATCAGAGTATATGACTTCAAGAATAACCTTCAATCTGCTTCCTGCATCCTTGCTGAAGTTATTCTTGTGTTGCTTCGCCTGCACACATTCCTCACATACTTCGTTTGGAATGTCAATTTCAGGCAATCCTGAAACCATATTTTTTCTCTTCAAGTCTCTGATGTCTCTGAAGTTGAGATGGCCTAGTCTATAATGCCATATTCATTCATCTCTGCTAGCTGCAGTCTAAAGGCACTTGTGCTCCATCACATTTAGTTCAATCTTGAAGGTTCGATGCTGAGGCATAAGAGCCTTCAAGATTAATCTCTCATTTGCATCAACGACTCTCATCATCTTATCTTCGATTGACACTTTATAGTTCTTTTCAACCAATTACCATATACAAAGCAAATTGCTCTTCATGCCTGGTATGTGCAACACATTGGAGATTACTGACCTTTTGCCATCTTTTCTCATAATCATAACATCACGAATACCTTCAGCTGCTAGGGTATTGTCATTTGCAAATTTTACCATATTTTTCATTGAGGGCTTTATATTAACAAAACAGTCTTTCCTTCCAGACATATGTGATGAGCATCCTGAGTCCAAGTACCATTGGTCCTTGAATCTATCTCCATCTCTTGTTGTGACCATCATCATCATCTCTTCTTCTTCATGTTTTGTAAGCTTTGCATCACTTCCTTGATTCTTTCGTTTTTCTGGACAATCACTCGAATGGTGTCCATACTTCTGACAATTGTAACATTGAATATGACTCTTATCAGGTTTTCGACCACCACCTCTTTCTCTATTTGCAACACCACCTCTTTGGTTTCCTTGGTATGGTCTTCTTTGATTCGACATGTTTCCTTCTATTTGGTTTCCTCTACCATTCGATTTGTTGTAGCCACCTCTACCTCTGTCGAAAAACTTTCCTTTGCCTTTGGTTTCTTTTGCTGAATGTGCCTACAAGGCCACACCACTCTTCAATTTGTCTGCAGCTCTTTCATTCATTCTTTGTTCATGAGATTCAAGTGTCCCTTGAAGCTCTTCCTTTGTCAATCTCGATAAGTCTTTCCCCTCTTTTATCGCCACCACTATGTGGTCAAATTTAGGAGCTAAAGATCTCAAGATCTTCGAAACAACATCTCTTGTTGTTAACGTTTCTCCACATATCTTGATTTGATTTACTAGTTTTGTAACTCTAGTGAAGAAATCAGATATGTTTTCACTGTCTTCCATCTGAAGTAGTTCATACTTTCTTTTGTGAGTTTGTAACCTCACTTGTTTCACCTTCTCAGCGCCTCCAAAAGACTTCTCAAGGATTTCTCAAGCTTCTTTTGCAGATTCTGAATCACTAACCTTTTCGAAATTGTCTGGGCTGACACATTGATGAATTATAAATAATACTTTATAACTCAGCTTCTCAGATTCTGTGTATTTCATCTTTTCTTCTTCTGAAGCGTTTTCTCCAAGTGCTTCGACTCCATCTTTACAAGATCCCAAAGACCTTGACACCTGAATAAGACTTTCATTTGTTTGCACCAATTCTCATAGTTGTCAACTTTCAGAATTGGTAGGGTTGTTGGATAGTTGCATTCCCATAACTTGTCATCGTGAATTCTTCAATTGTTCTTGATTGATAATTCCCTTGAATCGAAACAAAAGCTCTGATACCAGATGTTGGAAATCCACCAAATATCTATGATGAATTACTATTTGAATGACAATGAATTATGAGAAAAACAAGAAAAGAAAGAAGATAATTATTTTCTGCAGAGTTTCTTTCTGCCCACAATCTGGGAAAAACTGTCATTCACTTGCAACTGCAAATTCTGTGAATACAAATTAATTGACTTGCTTACAAAAAATAGGGGTTACTCCCTCTATTTATAACTGAGCTTGCACCCTAAGCTCAAAGCCCAAAATATCTATTTTGTTACTAAATCAAATCTAATTTATTCTAAACTTAAATCAAATCTATTTAAATCTAAACAAATCTAATCTTTTCGACACATAATTTTGACACACTGAATTACAATTTAACAAGAACATGGTTAATAATTATATTTTATTAATTAATAAAATAGTAAAAATAATTAATGAATTATAAGTAAAATAATTAGTTAATAATATATATTTTTATGGTTAATAAAATTGTGAAATTAATTAATGACACGATCTAATATTTATGTTAGAAAATAAATTTAAAAAATATTTATTTTTAAAAAATAAATAAATAATTTTAAAAATATTATTATTTTATTAAAAAATATTGTTCACCATATAAATATGGTGAATAATATATATTGTGTAGATATTGATATAGGATGTGGGTGTCAAAATACCAAATATGATATATATATATATATATATATATATATATATATATATATATATATATATATATATATATATATATATATATATATATATATATATATATATATATATATATATATATATATATATATATTGAAAAACCTTGTTTGTATATTTTAAATTTGAAACATCTTTAGCTGTAATAAAATCTCCTGAATTTCCCTCTGTGAAAGCCATGTTTTCTTCCTACAATTGCAAACAAAAGCAGAAAAAATTAATAAATATAGTGATAAAAAATAAAGAGTTTCATCTTAATTTAAACTAAACATGCATAAAAGCTAACAATTTAAAAAAAGTAAATAAATAACAACCCTTAGCAATTTTAGCACATTTGGATACTTGGCAAGAAGGTAAATAGCCCACATGGATACAAGAGAAGTAGAGATATATCCACCCAAGACAAGAGAGACAATGTTGTCTACAACTTCTTTATCACTTAATTTGTCACCATCATCGTCTTCAATTTGCATTAACCCGTCCATTAAATCAATTGTTTCCACCTTATTTTTATTCTTTGATTTTCTCTTATTTAACTCCATCCAAAAAATATCATCGAGTTTTCTTCTACACTGAAGAGCATAGTGGTATGTAAAACCAGGAATATTAATTGGATAAGCTCTCACACCTGGAAGCACACCTTGATAGAGTTTATCCAATGAATTTAGAAATAGGCCTGGCTCCTTGCCTAAGAAAAGTTTTCCAATGTTCTCAAGTGACAACTGCATTAAATATTTAATAATTTAGTTTCCTAAAAGCTTATTGAGAAATTTCACATAAATATTACATGCTATGCATGATTGAGATAAAATTAAAACTATAGCATCAATTACATAAAAATAAAGTTTCCTAAAAGCTTATTGAGAAATTTCACATAACTATTACATGGTATGATGATTGAGATAAAATTAAAACTATAGCATCAATTACATAAAAATAAAGACCGACAAAAAAATACTTAAATTTTAAGTTAAAAGATAGTAAAGTGAAAGTGTAAAATAGTTTTATAGTGTCTTTCAATAAAAAATCAGTATTTTTTCATATTATTAAAAAATAAAAAATAAAAGAGTGACTTAATTAAATATATGATTGTGATTGATTAACAGTATAAAATTATATTACATTGTCATTGCATCAATCATTTTCTTTTAATTTTTTCCATTTATTAAAATGGTCTTAGTTTCTGCAAACTTTTGTAACTAACATTTGTCATTTTAATAAAGTAGGGTTTCTAGAAAAGAAAATGGTTGTATAGACATAAAATGTGAGAATTTTTCTTTACATCTAGTAATGGTGATTTCACCTCAGGAAATCCGATAATACCCTTTGAATATGCACTTCCGAACGCATCTTGTGAATTTGGGATATTGGGTTATTTGGATATGCATAACCGAAGAAATCTCTATTTTTCATTTTCAGGGAGATTTCAGATATGCATATCTGAAATAATCCAATATTCCTGTTGTGAAACACAATACCTTTAAAACAAAGTATAACAGAGTTCTTCAAGGCAAGAAACCCACAAGGATAGAAAAGAATGAAAAACACGAAGAACAACAAGGATGGGTTATTAACTGATATTCTTTACTTTCTCTTCAAACAAGATTACAAGTACACAAGAATAATAAAAAACCCTCTCATCCTAAATTAGGATCTGCAGTATGCCATGATGAGAGACTAGTATGCTATTTATAAGAAAATTTACACTAAACTAATAGACTTTTACACACATGCCTATTACACAAGCTAACTTAAGGAACAAGCTAACTTAAATAATTGAACTTAACAAACATGCCCAATTCGACATGCCAACAATTCTAGCATTTCAACTATTGCATACTTGAGCATACTTTGACTACATCATTGCAGGGCTTCAACTACGACATGTGAACAAACTTCGACGATATGCTAAGATCATGTCGAATTGTCGAGCCAAGAAGCTACTCTTCGACCATACTAGAGTTCGATCCAATATCTCACAAATCTCCACCTTGGAAAAAACTCTAATATCAAAGAACCAACTAACTTTCTTTATGCAGCTTTATCAACTGCATACAGTGGAAAAACTTGCAACTTGGCAATGTTTTAGTAATCATATCATCAATATTATGATATGTTGAAACCTTCAGCACTTAGACTTCTCCACGCTCGATTACCCCTCTAAAGAAATGCAGCCTCACATTGATGTTCTTGGTTCGTTCATGATAGGCTGAATTCTTCGACATGTGTATTACATATTGACTATCACATTTAACAGTGATAACTCGACCTTGAAGTTTCAGCTCCTTAGCAAAACCTTCAAGCCACAATGCTTCTTTCACAGCTTCAATGAGGGAAATATATTATACTTCAGTGGTTGATAAAATAACAACCTTCTGAAGGGTCACTTTCCAACTAATTGTTGTGACAAACATAGTAAAAACATATCCAAAAATAGATTTTCTAGAACCCATACAACCTGCATAATCAGAGTCGACATACCATTCGATTACTGTTTTACTATCTTCACCCAAGGCTCTACCATAAATTAAGACTATATTCAGAGACCCATTTATGTACCTTAGAATCCACTTCAATGCTTTCCAGTGAGCCTTTCCAGGGTTCGCCATGTACCTGCTTACAAGACTTACTACATATGCTATATCGGGTCAAGTACAAACCATAGGATACATCAAAGAGCCCACTATGTTAGCATATGGGATGATATTCATATAACTTCTTTCAATCTCAGTACTGGGATATTGATGTATACTCAGCTTGAATTGAGGGTTTGTTGGAGTCACAACAGGCTTTGAATTCGACATACCAAATTTTTTGAGAATCTTTTGTAGGTATTCCTCTTGAGATAAGCATAATTTCGACTGCTTTCTATCTCTTCGAGTGTCAATCTCAAGAATCCTGGATGCAACTCCCAGATCCTTCATGTCAAACTCCTTATTTAGTTCAACCTTCACCCTCATTACATCTTTGATATTACTGCTTGCTATGAGAATATCATCAACATAAAGCCACAAAATAACAAATGAATTACTAGGTCGAAATCTGAAGTAAACACACTGGTCAAACTGACTTCTAATGAAACTTATGCGCTCCATGAACCTGTTGAATCTCCCATTCCACTGTCAAGGAGATTGTTTCAGCCCATATAAATATCTATTCAACTTGCACACATAATCTTCCTTTCCCTTTTCGACATACCCTTCACGTTGTCTCATCAAGATTGTTTCATCTAGATCACCATACAAGAATGCAGTCTTCACATCCCTTTGTTCTAGTTCAAGATCGAACTGTACCACCATGGAAAGCAACATTCGAATGGACTTGTACTTCACAACAGGAGAAAACACATCATTAAAGTCGACATCTTCTTTCTAAGTGAAACCCCTTGCAACCAACCTTTCCTTGTATCTTTTTGACGCCACTCCTTCAATTCCTTCCTTATCTTTGGAGTCACAACAAAATTTGAATTCGACATACCAAATTTTTTGAGAATCTTTTGTAGGTATTCCTCTTGAGATAAGCATAATTTCGACTGCTTTCTATCTCTTCGGGTGTCAATCTCAAGAATCCTGGATGCAACTCTCAGATCCTTCATGTCAAACTCCTTATTTAGTTCAGCCTTCACCCTCATTACATCTTTGATATTACTTCTTGCTATGAGAATATCATCAACATAAAGCCACAAAATAACAAATGAATTACCAGGTCGAAATCTGAAGTAAACACACTGGTCAAACTGACTTCTAATGAAACTTATGCGCTCCATGAACCTGTTGAATCTCCCATTCCACTGTCAAGGAGATTGTTTCAGCCCATATAAATATCTATTCAACTTGCACACATAATCTTCCTTTCCCTTTTCGACATACCCTTCACGTTGTCTCATCAAGATTGTTTCATCTAGATCACCATACAAGAATGCAGTCTTCACATCCCTTTGTTCTAGTTCAAGATCGAACTGTACCACCATGGAAAGCAACATTCGAATGGACTTGTACTTCACAACAGGAGAAAACACATCATTAAAGTCGACATCTTCTTTCTAAGTGAAACCCCTTGCAACCAACCTTTCCTTGTATCTTTTTGACGCCACTCCTTCAATTCCTTCCTTATCTTTGGAGTCACAACAAAATTTGAATTCGACATACCAAATTTTTCGAGAATCTTATTTAGGTATTCCTCTTGAGATAAGCATAATTTCGACTGCTTTCTATCTCTTCGGGTGTCAATCCCAAGAATCCTGGATGAACTCCCAGATCCTTCATGTCAAACTCCTTATTTAGTTCAGCCTTCACCCTCATTACATCTTTGATATTACTACTTGCTATGAGAATATCATCAACATAAAGCCACAAAATAACAAATGAATTACTAGGTCGAAATCTGAAGTAAACACACTGGTCAAACTGACTTCTAATGAAACTTATGCATTCCATGAACCTGTTGAATCTCCCATTCCACTGTCAAGGAGATTGTTTCAGCCCATATAAATATCTATTCAACTTGCACACATAATCTTCCTTTCCCTTTTCGACATACCCTTCATGTTGTCTCATCAAGATTGTTTCATCTAGATCACCATACAAGAATGCAGTCTTCACATCCCTTTGTTCTAGTTCAAGTTCGAACTGTACCACCATGGAAAGCAACATTCGAATAGACTTGTACTTCACAACAAAAGAAAACACAACATTAAAGTCGACATCTTCTTTCTAAGTGAAACCCCTTGCAACCAACCATTCCTTGTATCTTTTTTACGCCACTCCTTCAATTCCTTCCTTAACTTTTAAAATCCATTTACAACTGACTAACCTGGCTCCAGCAGGTTTCTTGATCAGTTCCCAAGTGTTGTTATCATGAAGAGATTTCATCTCATCATCCATGTCCTTCAGCCATTCAGTCTTATTTTGACTCCTCATAACTTCCTTATAGTCTCTAGGTTCTTTGTCTAGAACCTCACTTGTAGAGATTAAGGCATAAGCTATAAGATATGAATACCCAAGTCTCTGAGGTGGCTTGATGACTCTTCTCATTCTATCTCTTTCCAATAGGTAGTCATCAACGGTTTCATCAACTTCCTCTACATCTTCTACTTCTTCTTCGACTTTATCTGGGATACACAATTCAACATCAACATGTTCCACCTCAACATGAATCTCCCTTGTTCCAGCTCTTTGTCGGATATTTCTTCACTTCGATCAACATCATCAGTTTTCTTTAAATTTATTTCAGCTTCATTGAAAACTACATCTCGACTGGTGATAATCCTCCCGTGACCTGGCTCTAGGCACCATAGCTTATAAGCTTTGACTCCTTCAGAGTATCCCATGAACATGCATTTCAGAGCTCTAGGTCCGAACTTGTCTTTCCTAATATGAGCATAGGCTACACATCCAAATACTCTTAGTTTGTCGATCTGGTGGATGTCCCAACCAAACTTCTTCGAGTGTTTTCATATCTAACACAATCGAAGGACATTTCTTTATCAGATATGTTGCTTTCGAAACAGCCTCATCCTAAAACACCTTCTTTAAATTATTAGTCAACATGCATCTAACTATCTCCAAAGTAGTTCGATTAAACCTTTCATCTAAACCATTTTTTTGTGGAGTACATGCAGTAGTTTTGTACCTTGCAATACCAGAAGTAGCACAAAAACTATCGAAAGTCTTATTGCAAAATTCAAGGCCATTGTCGGTTCTCAACCTCTTGACCTTTATGCCAGTTT